AGCTGGGACAGTAGGCACCCACCACAACATCCAGCTATGTTTTTTTTAAGAGATGGGGTCTTGCTCTTGCTCAGGCTGGTCTTATACTTAAGAGTTCAAGCAGTCCACCCACCTTGGCCTCCCAGAGTGCTAGGATTACAGGTGTGAGCGCCCCCGAACTTGGTCCTCATCTGTAAGTATTCTTAATTTCTGACAATACAGTTATTTGTGTAAGTTCAATAAGAATCTGTTTCTTGTATAAGACAAAATAACAAACACTGGTTATTTTTACCAAGGCTTTGTCTACAATGACAGAGTTTCAGAGGCATCTAGACTACATTAAAAAATTAAAGTTGACTTTCTATGGTCAATAAAAAGCTTGTTGGAAAAACTGGCCAAATACCTCCTCAATAACATTTTCTGATCTGTAGTAAATAAAAAATGTCCTAAAGGTGAATACTAGAAACAATCTACATAACCATCCATAGACTATGGTTCTATCAGCTGCAGAATACTTCTAGAATGGAACACTGCACCATGGGGAAATGTTTTAATTAGACCTGTTTATTCATGGATTGATCTCACAAGCATACTGCTAAGCAAGCAAAAGCAAAGGACACAAATATAGCACCATTCAAATAAAAACTCTTCACTTAAAACCCACCAGTATCACATTTTTAGGGACATAAATAGCTGTGGCAAAATTAACACTTGGAAAGATACACCTGTGGTTCTCAACCCTGGCTCAATCACAAAGAATCACTTGGGGAGCTCTTCTAACTCCTGACACCTCAGTCCCACCTGGCCCAATGACACTTGGCTCTCTGTCCTGGGGCCTAGGCACCAATACTGAATTCCTCGGGTGACTCACTATGTAGCCAAGGTTGAGAGTCACTTACCGACCATAAAGTCAGACTATCTGGTTACCTCTGAAGGGAGAAAGGCTCATGCTTTATGCCTGGGTCTGAGTGACAGCACAGGGAAGTCTGTGGTATTATTCACAATTTAAAAGCTCTCAAGGTATTTCAGAATTTCACAAAAGAGCATTATCATTTAAGGCAGAAGGGTGGGAGATCTCAGGGAAACTCCCAGATATTGCAGTTTTCCCACAAATTACACTGGTTACACAGTATTCTAGGAGAATGTGCTGATAATACTATGAATGACTCTCATTATTCAATCTAGTATATATACTCTCTAATTCCAAAACCATTAGCAAGAGATCAGAAATCATATGGGGTAGGGGAGGGGAAGTACTGCATCAAGCAATGGAGATGAAACAGACAGCTACCGTGTTTCTTCAAAAATAAGACCTACCCAAAAAATAAGCCCTAGCAGGATTTCTATGCATTTGTTAAATATAAGCCCTACCCCAATAATAAGACCTAGCGATGGGCATGCATTTCGGTCCGGAGAAGAAGACATCCCCTGAAAATAAGCCCTAGTGTCTCTTCTTGAGAAAAAATAAATATAAAACAGTATCTTATTTTCAGGGAAACATGGTACAAATGAATGCTAAATGGAACTCTTACTGTGAAACGTGCTTCCTAACTCCACGAACCAATGGTGATGCTAACAAAGGCTCTGGTAAAAATTCTAGCACAGTAAGAAATGAACCTTTCCTGGGGAGGGTTCTGGGAAAGGCCTGCTCATTGCCACAGTGTCCTCATTATCTTAGAAAAGCCACTCCACAGGGGATAATGCGGAATTGTAGCACAGTCAGCCATGAAGACCAGGGAGGGCAGCCAATCTCTGACACACCTCTTCCGCCATCTCTGCACCGGACCCGGGAGAGACCTAAAGCCATAATGTGCAGTTCCCATTTATTGAGTTATCCCAATGTATCAGGCACTCATGGGCTTTCTAATGTCCTCCATTTAATCCCAGTAACAACTCCGCAAAGCATTATCATTCACAATTGGGAAATAAGGAAAGAGGCTTGGAAAAAAAAGTTACTTGCCCAACATCACATTCCTAGTAAATGGCAATAAACCAAAATTAGTACAATGCCTAACACGAAATAGCTCAATAAATGTTGGCTGATTGTTAACCTGTGGCACCGCCCTGACTCAAACACAGGTCTGCTAACTCCAATGCCCAAGTTCTTCTCCGTTTAGCAACTACATGCACATGGTACAAAACTCAAGCAAGCAGAAGGCAAGGAACAAAAGGGGACTATTCTACGCACTGGGGACCTAGGTGCCCAGGAAGCAATCACTTTCTTGGGCATCCTTCAGAGATTTCTAGCAACACGATATGTATACTGTTGGTACCTTCAAAGCCCCTGTCCTTTAACCAGCCAAGTGCTACTGCTGGGTTCACTTATCTGGTTGAGCTATTTGCAGCACACTTCATTGCAGCTGACAGGCTTCCAGACCAAAGGCCAGAATGAAGCTGTAAGACACAGGAAGTCTATTCTGACTGACAGACCCAATAGTGTACTTGAGGCACTATGTAAGGAAGGGGTAAGGCTGCGCAACGTTCTGTCCAAGGGCAGACAAGACTGCTCTGCCTGGCATAGATGATGGCTAGAAGACCAACCAGCCTGACAGCCCCGCTCCTTCATGAGGCTCCCAAAAGGACTTTGGTGAAGCTGGTGGTTGAAATGTAAGGCTGCCACACTCAAGCGACCCGGCTTGAACCACAGACAGCAGATGGTAAAAGCCAGTAAAGTCCTGGTCCCCCTTTCTAGCCTCATAGCTTTTGAAAAAGCATTTCACCTCTTTAGATGCGAACTGCTCACTTGGAATGGTAATAGCAGTAGCCCCCTCCCAAAGGATTATGGTGATAAATGAAATAACACTCAGAAAATGCTATACTGTGAGCTATTCCTGATGATATAAATGAAGAGGCTGGACCTCTCATTACATAAAACAAGTTCAGGTTTGGAGTGTCAGAGATGACACTGTGTTCCCAGAGAAGCTGGACTTTTCAGGTAGCATTGGGCAAAAGACATTTCTTAATCTCTTATGAGACATTTAGAACATGAACAGTCCCACTGGTACCATTTACCAACTTCGTCCAGTTGGAAGTCAGGGTGCTTGAGGGCTGTCTCTTGTGATGCAGCATTAGGCCACCAAGGCTTTCTAGGGAACAGTCTTCCACTTAGGTTTAAATGCAACTCAGCTGCTTTTCCTAAGCACCCTGCCCCCAACACTAGGTAGGACAAGGAAGAAAAACCGTAACAATTCTGGGTTCTCAGATAATAACCTGTTTCCTTGTGTAGCTGGGATGCTATTGTCTTGATTTCCACAAATACTCCTGGGCAATATGGGGTAAGGCACAGCAAAGGAGACCTGCTCCCTCATAAAAAGCTGAGGTGCTCCAATCTCATTTCACTGCTGCTGGAAAGCAGAACCTCAGCACTGCAGCATAGCCCTCCCCAGGACCCTGCAAGGAAATGCCCTAATCTTCGAGCAGCCTAAGCTTCAGCCCTCTTAGGATCAGAGAATGAACTATGGCACACCAGGCTTACGTATCCTTATCCTATCTGCTTACGTTAAAACTCACCCACTTTCCCCAATGTCCCTAGAAAGGGGAGGGCATTACCACAGAAGGCTGATCTCAGAAACAGGTACAGAAACAAGCCAGACTATGCTCTGGCCTAATCTTAAGCAATTTCAGGCCAAGGAACACAGGAAAGAGATATTTTAAAACCTCACATGACCTGTCCATAAGCCTAGCCAAGAAAGATGTACCCCTTTGCCAGGTACTCTTTGTTTTAGGTAGGTATAAAGTAGTTATGGAAAGACCACTTTAAGTAAATCTTTTGTCTTTTACTAACTTGACTTTTACTAACTTGACTGAAAAAAAAAAAATATATATATATGCACTGAATATCTGTGTACCAAATACTTATGTGCCAACAGCCCCGTAAAGGTGGGTATCATTGTGCCCCTTTTGCCAGAAGAAACTGAGATATCACAGGCCACTTGACACTAAACGGGGAGTTGGGACACAAATCCATCTCTGAGCCCTTGTCAAGTCCCCGTCCTAAGATGACAAAAGTCCAGAGAAAACAAGTCCACCCAGGCTTGAGCTACACTCTCAAGTCACTGCAGAGACAATGGGAAGGAACCAATGAGGGTGGCTAGTCCAGCCTCCATTTTACAGGTAAGGAGGCTGAGACCTGGAGTGGAGAAGTGACTTTCTTAAAGTCACACAAAAAATTAAGTCAAGATGGTAGGAGTCTCTGTCTAGCTGCCTCCGTTCATCTTGTGGTCTTGGGTTTAATGTCACCTCCTCAGGTAAGCCTTCCCTGAGCACATCCCCCAGACTAGATCCCACCTCCCTACTACTCACTCTCAAGGCTCCGTGCACACGAAGGTAATGTTACCAGAATTTCTTTCTTCAGTAGGTTGTTGGTCTCAGGGATTTAAAGAATGAACCCATGAACCACATTATCAGTGGTAAAATAGGATTTTATGAGACAGAAAAGAATATAGAAGGAGTAAAAAAGCACCAGAACTTCTGGCAAAGGGAAAGACCCAAGTTCAGAAGTCTTCCACGGGTCCTTTGTGTAGAGGTGTATATTACATTTTGGCCAGGACTTGGTAGGTGGAAAAACACCTTTTCAAAATTAATGAGCATTTTAACAAATGAATGGGGCAAAGTTATTAGGTCTTAGAAGTTTTTGTCTCGGGGAAAGGATTAGGGTGTGTGCTCTGTACTCAAGGTGGAACCACCCAAAACATTTCAGGTTTCTTTATTCTTGACCCTGCTAGAGCCCAGAAGGTAGGGCCTGGAAAAGGCAGCTTGTTTGTGCCCAGAGATGGGGGTCTGATTTCTGAGCTCATCTGGGCCTACAGAATGGGGGTGGGGAGTTCCTGTCCAGCCCTGAGGGGGAGAACCCCGTATCAATACTATTGAGCACACGAACCAGGTCTGTATCTGTGTGTGCGACTACCCGTTTAGTGTCGGTCTTCTGGACTAGACTTAAGCCCTCAACCACAAGCACGACTCTAGTGCCTAGTATGGTGTCAAACGCACAACCAGAGACAGGCGCCTGGTGATGGGCTTACCTTCACTGTCGGTGAGCACTTCCATGCGCCCACTGAACATGGCCTTCAGCATGGTGTCCTGTTTGGTAAGCGTCTGCATGGTGGTATAGTAGAGGGCTCCACCCACATTCAGCTTCACGTATTTGGAGCTGGGGCTTGTGCCCTTGAAGGAAGTGGTGCGGGTAGCAGCCGCTGGCACCGCTGAGCTCACCACACTTTCTCCTGACATCTCTTCCTGCCAATGGAGAAGACACAGGGTCATGACATCAGGCCTAGTTGACCTCTTTCAGCCTGTGGGCTGAATATGGCCTCCAGAATTGTTTTGCTTGGTCCAAGTACATACTGGATTTAAAACTTAAAAGTTTACTTCCAGTGTTGACAACTTAGGAAATCTCACCAAAAAAATCTGGATTTTTGACTTCTCTTAAAATCAGAGGCCAACTGGGCCAGCAGGACAACTAGTGGAAGCTGGGGTATTGGCTGTCCTCAGAGGAACATGTATCCTACAGTTTGTCCCAAACCCCACCCAGAGAGCTTCACACTGCTGATCCCACCTGCTGACCCAGTAGGCACACAAGTTTGCCACTAAGTCTTGTGTTGTAAGAACTTCCTTTGTGCACGATACACACACACACACACACACACACACACACACACGGTCGCATTGTAAAACAGTCTAAAGCACTCCCCAGGTCTATGCTTCCTTATTGCCATGCACCACCAACAGCTAAGAGAATGAATCAAAGATGAAACAAGCTTTTATAAAGTTGAGTGGGATCCCAGCCCACACTCCTGATACTTCGTAGAAGGAGTAGTAGAAAGTGCTTCTGGGGACTAAACAGTAACCTCTTGGAAGCACGTTACTGCAAAACTAGATTTTCCTTTTTTCTTTCCCCTTCCCCATTTGTGACCATGAAAAAATTATAGATTTCTTATAGTAGTGACACCCAAAATGGCAAAATCCTATGACAGCCTCCCAACAGCACTACCAGCCCTCACATATATCCCAAGTCAAAGAAATGGATGTAGTGTCTGATTTAAGCAGGGCTGGGAAAGACTGGTATCTGGCACATATGTGCTCAGAGAAAACATTTCTTGAATGAATAGGTAAAACTGTAAGGCAGGAGAAGTTGTCCACGAGTGGGTGAGATCTTTGCTAAATCTGGGCTGTGGGGCTGAGAGAGAAGAGCATTCCTGATAGCCAGGAGCTGGCCTGGCCCTCACAGCTGGGCCTTAGTATTCCCACTTAACAGGAGAAATGTCAAAGCACACCAACACCAGATAAGGCCACTCTGTGGTCATGCTGCAACTAGACAAGAATAAGACCACTCCAAACTCATTTCTGAACACAGACAAAAACACAAACCACCCAACCTTCTCCTGTCCTGGCTAACATGAGTTACTACTGTTTCTTTGCCAACTGGAGCATTAGCCTCATTCCATTCTTCCTGCCTTCAAGACAAGAATCACTGACACCCAATCCCAGAACGAGCCCTGTTTCCAAGCAGCATTTAACACAGGGCAAAGCCCCAATTCTCTGAACCCTCCTCCAAATTACCCAACATAAGTTCAAATCCTCTGAGACACCCCACACCCCCAATGGAACAAGGAAATAAACCCATCTTTGTCTGACTACAGGTAAGCTCGGTGTGGTTTTTGGCTAAAAGGCACTGACCAAATAAATCTTTTTTGAGTAATTCCCAGAAACAGAAAAACGATTATTTTAAAATTCTTTAGGCCTTTCTATCCTTTCCAGACTTTCCACAATGTCTATGTGTTAAAAATATAATTTGTAAAACACAAACGTCATTTTTTAAATGAACCAAGGCCTAAAGGGTGGCAGCCCACAATAGCAGAGGCAATGACTTAATGGACAGTTACAAGCAATATTCAATGCTCAACTCCAGGCTATCCTACTCTTCTGGCTAACTCTCCCAGGTCCACCTCCCACAAGAGCAGAGTAGCCCAGAAATCACTTGCTGGGGAACTTGAGTCAGGGCCCAGCAAGTTGAAACACAAAAACCAGCCTCCTGACAAGAAGTTGTTTTCTCAGTAAACTGTTCATGCTTCATCAAGTAAAAACATCTAAAAACAAAGTTTTCAAAAGCTCAGGCTTAGCTCATCTGAGGTCTCTGTGGCCTCATACAAAGAAAAAAAGGCCAAAAGGAAAGAGTTTCCTCTCCCTTCTAGCTTTCCTTTGAAGAGACCTCACCCTAACATTTATGGCCAACCATTTGCCACAGAAAAACCTTTTCTTCATGGGATGGTCGAAGAGGTTTATAAAAAGAAAGAATTTCCAAAAACGCTGAAGATCTGGAATGGGGAAAAAGTCTTTTGTACATTTTTTTTTTGCAACAGAGCCTCAAGCTGTCCCCCTCAGTAGAGTGCTGTGACATTACAGGTCACAGCAACCTCCAACTCCTGGGCTCAAGTGAGTCTCCTGCCTCTGCCTCCCAAGTAGCTGGGACCACAGGCGCCCACCACAACGCCTGGCTATTTTTTGGTTGCAGCCATCATTGTTGTTTGGTGGGCCCAGGCTGGATTTGAACCCGCTAGCTTAGATGTATGTGGCTGGCGCCTTAGCCACTTGAGCCATAGACGCCAAGCCAAAAAATGTACATAAAGTATACTTCATGTAGTCATTGAGTACATTCTAAGAAATGTGTCATCAGGTGATTTGTTCACTGTGGGAACATCAGAGTGCACGTACAGAAACCCAGATGGTACACCCCACTGCACACCTCGGCTGTATGGTACAGCCTATTGCTCTGAGGCTACATACCTGGACGGCATGTTACTGTACTGAATACGCCATAGACAGCTACAGCACAACAGTAAGTGTGTGTATCTAGACATAATTATACAGAGGAAACGTATAATTACTGTACAAAAGAGGGAAAAGTGATATACCTGCACAGGACCTATACCATGAACTGTACTTACAGGACTGGAAGTTGCTGTGGGTGAGTCAGTGAGTGACAAGTGAATGTGAAGGCCTGGGACTTTACTGTATACTGCTGCAGACTTTCTAAATACTGTGTACTCAGGCTAAATAAAACATAAAAAAGACTTTTCTCTCTTCAATAATAAACTACCCTTAGCTTACTGTATCTTTTTTGCTTATTTTTAATAAACTTTCTAATTTTCAACTTTTTGACTCTATTGTAATAACACTTAGCTTAAAACTCAAACACGCTGTACAGTTGTACAAAAATATTTTAATATCCTTATCCTATATATTTTTTCCTATTTGGGGGGGCAGAATCTCACTATGTCACCCTCAATAGAGTGCCGTGGTGTTAACAGTTCACAGTAACCTCAAACTCTTGGGCTTAAGCGATTCTCTTGCCTCGATCTCCCAGTAGCTGGGACTACAGGCGCCCGCCACAAGGCCCAGCTATTATTTTGTTGTAGGTGTCACTGTTTAGCTGGCCAGGGCCAGGTTCGAACCCACCACACTTGGTGTATGTGGCTGGTGCAATAATCACTGTGCTACGGGTGCCAAGCCACTTTTTCCTATTTTTAATGGGTTTTTTTGGCTAAAAACTAAGACATACACACAGACACAAACCTTGGCCCATACAAGGTCAGGATCATCAATATCATTGTCTTCCGAGAGAAATCTGGGAAGATGGCCGACTGGTGGCGACCCTCGGCAGAGGCTCCTGAGCAGAGGAAGAAAAACTGGATGGAATCAGACTCTATGAAGCCAAAGATGGGGAGCTGAGCCAAGAAATAAGTTCAGCAAGCTGTAACTCCAAGGAAGAGCATTTAAGAAAACAAATTATAGGTATAAAGCCTATCAACTAGAGGATGGGAGACGCCTCCCCCAAGCAGGAGGCCTGCCACAGGCTCTCTGCGAAGGAGCAGAGAACAAAAGACCTCTCATTTTACCTCACTGGAGACAGCTGCTAAACTCCAGGTCTCTTTCTCCAGGGAAGTCCCACTTATGAACCTAGACACCACCTTGTCAGGCATAAAATTAAACAGATATTTTCCTCCACAAGTCCAAACTCCCAGTCCACCCTTTCCCCCTCACATGGCCGTCTGAAGTTCTGCCCCTTGCAGAGCACAGAGTGTTTGGTCTTACCCTGAGAGATCTGGGCATAGTGTGGACCGTCAACCATCAGGAAGGATTCTGTGACTAATGGAGAAGAAAGAGGGTGTGGGAAGAAAGGGACACTCAGCAGGAGGAGGAGCAGTCCCCTGGTTATGACTATGCCCAGTCAGTGGTGGTGTTGACCCTCGGTTTGGGCTGTGTCTGGAGGGTCAGGGTGTAGAACCCCCGACTCTGATGGCACCCACAGCAGGACAGTGATTGCCCCATGTGGATCGAGTTCTGCAGACACAGCTGGTCCCCAGCCCCTGCTGGGCCTACAAGCAGAGGATTATCAGACATGAACTGAGACCTGAGGGCAAGGGTGTACTCCCCTGACTCCAACAGAACCCTCAAACAGTGGCTTGCTGGGTGCAAACCATGACCTGAGGGCTACGGCATGGTCCCATCTTCAGCAGGGTTGGTGAGCAGAGGCTTACTGGGTGAGGACTGAGACCTGCAGCCAGGGTGCAGTGCCCTAACTCTAACAGAGCCTGTGAACAGAGGCTTGCCTGGCAGTGGACTGAGACTGGCAGGTGGGGGTGTGGTCCTCTCATACCAACTGGTCTGGCAAGCAGAGGCTGAGTGTGGATGGAGACCAGTGGGCGGGGCATGGCCCCTGGCTCCAACTCGGACTGTGAGCAGAAAAGTGGACAACAGTATGGACTGAATCTGGTGGGTGGGAGTGTGGATCCCTGGCTCCAACGGTGCTATCGGAGACCCTTGAACCCCTCACTGTTGAGCAGTGTTTGCACTGCCTGAGACAATTTAATTGAAACCTGTGTCTGGTGTTGTCCACTCGGGGACATTCTGAGGTTGACCTTCAAAGTTCTGTAGCAGAAAAGAACTGAAAGGTGGGGGCTAGGTGCCACAGCTGTTTCTATCTCTTCATAGTCGAGATTTAAACCTAATACTGTGGCTTCTTAGGATAGAGTAGAGGTTGGCTTATATCAAAACAGAGCTAGCTTGCGCTATCTCACGAAGTAGGTCCTCAGAGTCTCTGGACAAAACTCTGAAAGGGGCTTTTGTAAAGTAGCAAGAGATAAGCCACAATTACAAAGGCTAGCGCTTTGGTAAGGGGCTATCTCTGCTACCTGGGAACCCCAATTCAATCTCACCCTATCAGTTCTAATAACCAA